CCACAGTCAGATGTAGCCTGTTGTAGCCACAGTCAGATGTAGCCTGATGTAGCCACAGTCAGATGTAGCCTGATGTAGCCACAGTCAGATGTAGCCTGATGTAGCCACAGTCAGATGTAGCCTGATGTAGCCACAGTCAGATGTAGCCTGATGTAGCCACAGTCAGATGTAGCCACAGTCAGATGTAGCCAATGTCAGATGTAGCCACAGTCAGATGTAGCCAATGTCAGATGTAGCCACAGTCAGATGTAGCCAGTCAGATGTAGCCACAGTCAGATGTAGCCACAGTCAGATGTAGCCACAGTCAGATGTATCCCTGAAACTTCTGTAACTCACTATTGTTAAACCAAACCCTTTAGTTTGTCAGTTAAACCACAGTCTGAATGTTAAACCAAACAGTCAGATGTAGCCACAGTCAGATGTAGCCTGATGTAGCCACAGTCAGATGTAGCCACAGTCAGATGTAGCCACAGTCAGATGTAGCCACAGTCAGATGTAGCCACAGTCAGATGTAGCCACAGTCAGATGTAGCCACAGTCAGATGTAGCCACAGTCAGATGTAGCCACAGTCAGATGTAGCCACAGTCAGATGTAGCCACAGTCAGATGTAGCCACAGTCAGATGTAGCCACAGTCAGATGTAGCCACAGTCAGATGTAGCCACAGTCAGATGTAGCCTGATGTAACCACAGTCAGATGTAGCCTGTAGCCACAGTCAGATGTAGCCTGATGTAGCCACAGTCAGATGTAGCCTAATGTAGCCACTGTCAGATGTAGCCTGATGTAGCCACAGTCAGATGTAGCCTGATGTAGCCACAGTCAGATGTAGCCTGATGTAGCCACAGTCAGATGTAGCCTGATGTAGCCACAGTCAGATGTAGCCACAGTCAGATGTAGCCACAGTCTGATGTAGCCACAGTCAGATGTAGCCACAGTCAGGTGTAGCCTGATGTAGCCACAGTCAGATGTAGCCTGATGTAGCCACAGTCAGATGTAGCCACAGTCAGATGTAGCCACAGTCAGATGTAGCCACAGTCAGATGTAGCCACAGTCAGATGTAGCCACAGTCAGATGTAGCCAGTCAGATGTAGCCACAGTCAGATGTAGCCACAGTCAGATGTAGCCACAGTCAGATGTAGCCACAGTCAGATGTAGCCACAGTCAGATGTAGCCTGATGTAGCCACAGTCAGATGTAGCCACAGTCAGATGTAGCTACAGTCAAATGTAGCCACAGTCAGATGTAGCCACAGTCAGATGTAGCCACAGTCAGATGTAGCCACAGTCAGATGTAGCCAATGTCAGATGTAGCCACAGTCAGATGTAGCCACAGTCAGATGTAGCCGCAGTCAGATGTAGCCACAGTCAGATGTAGCCACAGTCAGATGTAGCCACAGTCAGATGTAGCCACAGTCAGATGTAGCCACAGTCAGATGTAGCCACAGTCAAATGTAGCCACAGTCAGATGTAGCCTGATGTAGCCACAGTCAGATGTAGCCTGATGTAGCCACAGTCAGATGTAGCCTGATGTAGCCACAGTCAGATGTAGCCTGATGTAGCCACAGTTAGATGTAGCCTGATGTAGCCACAGTCAGATGTAGCCTGATGTAGCCACAGTCAGATGTAGCCTGATGTAGCCACAGTCAGATGTAGCCACAGTCAGATGTAGCCACAGTCAGATGTAGCCACAGTCAGATGTAGCCACAGTCAGATGTAGCCTGATGTAGCCACAGTCAGATGTAGCCTGATGTAGCCACAGTCAGATGTAGCCTGATGTAGCCACAGTCAGATGTAGCCTGATGTAGCCACAGTTAGATGTAGCCACAGTCAGATGTAGCCTGATGTAGCCACAGTCAAATGTAGCCACAGTCAGATGTAGCCTGATGTAGCCACAGTTAGATGTAGCCACAGTTAGATGTAGCCACAGTCAGATGTAGCCACAGTCTGATGTAGCCACAGTCAGATGTAGCCACAGTCAGATGTAGCCACAGTCAGATGTAGCCAATGTCAGATGTAGCCAGTCAGATGTAGCCACAGTCAGATGTAGCCTGATGTAGCCACAGTCAAATGTAGCCACAGTCAGATGTAGCCTGATGTAGCCACAGTTAGATGTAGCCACAGTCAGATGTAGCCACAGTCTGATGTAGCCACAGTCAGATGTAGCCAGTCAGATGTAGCCACAGTCAGATGTAGCCACAGTCAAATGTAGCCACAGTCAGATGTAGCCTGATGTAGCCACAGTCAGATGTAGCCACAGTCAGATGTAGCCACAGTCAGATGTAGCCACAGTCAGATGTAGCCACAGTCAGATGTAGCCACAGTCTGGTGTAGCCACAGTCTGATGTAGCCACAGTCTGATGTAGCCACAGTCAGATGTAGCCACAGTCAGATGTAGCCACAGTCAGATGTAGCCACAGTCAGATGTAGCCAATGTCAGATGTAGCCACAGTCAGATGTAGCCACAGTCAGATGTAGCCACAGTCAGATGTAGCCACAGTCAGATGTAGCCACAGTCAGATGTAGCCACAGTCAAATGTAGCCACAGTCAAATGTAGCCACAGTCAGATGTAGCCTGATGTAGCCACAGTCAGATGTAGCCTGATGTAGCCACAGTCAGATGTAGCCTGATGTAGCCACAGTCAGATGTAGCCTGATGTAGCCACAGTCAGATGTAGCCTGATGTAGCCACAGTCAGATGTAGCCTGATGTAGCCACAGTCAGATGTAGCCACAGTCAGATGTAGCCACAGTCAGATGTAGCCACAGTCAGATGTAGCCACAGTCAGATGTAGCCTGATGTAGCCACAGTCAGATGTAGCCTGATGTAGCCACAGTCAGATGTAGCCTGATGTAGCCACAGTCAGATGTAGCCACAGTCAGATGTAGCCTGATGTAGCCACAGTCAGATGTAGCCTGATGTAGCCACAGTTAGATGTAGCCACAGTCAGATGTAGCCTGATGTAGCCACAGTCAAATGTAGCCACAGTCAGATGTAGCCTGATGTAGCCACAGTTAGATGTAGCCACAGTCAGATGTAGCCACAGTCTGATGTAGCCACAGTCAGATGTAGCCAATGTCAGATGTAGCCAGTCAGATGTAGCCACAGTCAGATGTAGCCTGATGTAGCCACAGTCAAATGTAGCCACAGTCAGATGTAGCCTGATGTAGCCACAGTTAGATGTAGCCACAGTCAGATGTAGCCACAGTCAGATGTAGCCTGATGTAGCCACAGTTAGATGTAGCCACAGTCAGATGTAGCCTGATGTAGCCACAGTCAGATGTAGCCTGATGTAGTCACAGTTAGATGTAGCCACAGTCAGATGTAGCCACAGTCTGATGTAGCCACAGTCAGATGTAGCCAATGTCAGATGTAGCCAGTCAGATGTAGCCACAGTCAGATGTAGCCTGATGTAGCCACAGTCAAATGTAGCCACAGTCAGATGTAGCCTGATGTAGCCACAGTCAGATGTAGCCACAGTCAGATGTAGCCAATGTCAGATGTAGCCAATGTCAGATGTAGCCAGTCAGATGTAGCCTGTTACGTTCTGGGTTCATTTCAAATCAATAACAACGCTTCGTGTTTAACTTCACTACTTTTATTCGTCTCAATGCATTCAAGCGTACCAGAACAGCCCTCGTCCTAACCGCTACTAACTCGCTGACTGCCCCCACAATCGTTCACTCGCCCTTTTATACCCGCATTCGACCTTGGGATTACAAGACATAAACACACAAGGGTAACTACACAGTAAGGTGAACTCCACTCACACAGCCACTCTCCCCTAGTTCTAGACTATTCTAACCTATTCTAATCTACCTACAACTGGCCTGTAACATAGCCACAGTCAGATGTAGCCACAGTCAGATGTAGCCACAGTCAGATGTAGCCTGATGTAGCCAGTCAGATGTAGCCACAGTCAGATGTAGCCACAGTCAGATGTAGCCACAGTCAGATGTAGCCAGTCAGATGTAGCCACAGTCTGATGTAGCCACAGTCAGATGTAGCCACAGTCAGATGTAGCCACAGTCAGATGTAGCCACAGTCAAATGTAGCCTGATGTAGCCACAGTCAGATGTAGCCTGATGTAGCCACAGTCAGATGTAGCCTGATGTAGCCACAGTCAGATGTAGCCTGATGTAGCCACAGTCAGATGTAGCCACAGTCAGATGTAGCCACAGTCAGATGTAGCCTGATGTAGCCACAGTCAGATGTAGCCTGATGTAGCCACAGTCAGATGTATCCCTGAAACTTCTGTAACTCACTATTGTTAAACCAAACCCTTTAGTCTGTCAGTTAAACTACAGTCTGAATGTTAAACCAAAATCTGAATGTTAAACTAAAATGAATCAAACGATGGCTGAAGTTATAGAAGCAGCTAAACGATGGAACTATACTGCTCATTTGTGTGTGCACGTCTTTGCGAGTGTGTGTGTGTATGTGTGCGCGTCAGTCGGTGGTTGACGTGTCTGTTGGCTTGATGTTTACTGGAGCGTGACAATAGATACTGGAAAGTGAAAGTGCTGCCCTATCCCCCCCCCACACACACACACTACTTCTGACCAGACATTTAGTAAGAAATATCGCGTGTGTCTATGTGTGTCGGATTTATTCTTGTGTAGTGTGTGTCTGTGTGTGTGTCTAGTGTCGGTCAAAGACCCGACGACTGCCTCAGGTTACGGTGATGACGTCACTGCCACGGTCGACTGAGTATCACAATGGCTGTAACGTCAAACACGATGGCTGCATGTTTCAATAGCTGCTGTCACTGTCAGTGTTGATGATGGCTGACAGAGAAAAGAAAATATATAATCAGGAAGACATTTTGAAGACTAAATAAAAACATAAATTATTCTTTTAGTTCCTAATAGTGCTGTAATAATGCAGTAGAGAACTCATTGTATCATGATTGTATAGCACATCGTTTGATGATTGTAAAACTGATTGTTTGATGATTGTATACCTGATTGTACAATGATCTGATGATTGTAACCTTGATGTTTCAGGCAGTTCCCGCCACCTGTTGTCCCTTCCCAACTGCACCCCCCGGGCCGTGGAACAGTTCCCACGTGACTACTTCAGCCAGCATCAGCGAGCCAGTGGCGCCATCATCCTGCACGTCGTGCTGGTCATCTACATGTTCCTGGCACTGGCCATAGTCTGCGACAGTTACTTCGTCCCCTCCCTAGAGGTGCTGTGTGACCGTAAGTAGCTGACACACACACTACACCCACACACCACCCCACACTACACACCCCACACTCCACCCACACAACACCCCACACGTCCCTAGAGGTTCTGTGTGACCGTAAGTAGCTGACACACCACCCCACACACCACCCACACTACACCCACACTACACCCACACACCACCCCACACTACACACCCCACACGTCCCTAGCGGTGCTGTGTGACCGTAAGTAGATGACACACCCACACTTCACCCACACACCACCCACACACCACCCCACACTACACCCACACACCACCCCCCCCCCACACTACACCCACACTACACACTACACTCTCCACACTTCACCCACACTACACCCACACTAAACCCACACCACACTACACCCCACAATCGAACCCAGAACCCAGCCCACACTATACCACACACTGCACCCCACACTAAATCCACATTAAACCCCAAACTACACCCCACACTACAACACACACTACAGCCCACTAAACACCACCCCACCCCCTACACTCCACCCACATTATACCCCCACACACACCACCCCACACTCCACCTCACACTACACCCCTCGCGCTCGATACTAACCACATGAAACCAACACCCCTCCCCCACATTTTACATACACCAAAGATATTCGCATTTCTTTTAAACAGTTGTGAAACCACCATATGTCACCAATGTTAAATTAAATCTGAATTTTTGTCAAATGCTAATGAGTGTACATTTTTACTTCCGATTAGCTCAATTTTTTTTAAAAATATAATTGTGAACATAGCTGGAAAGGTCAAGGCCATGCTAAAGACATTTTTACCTGACGTTTTTTCTTTATTGTCGGATGCTATTTTTTTTTATATTCTACACCCCTATGTTACGTAACTCTACCACTGATAGATATTACGCAACACCCGGATTCTTTTGGGATGGTTCTAGACTGATGAATTATATGAAACTATAAAAGATTATTAGAAACAAAAACTCTTCGTAGACTCGAAATCTATTGTCTAGGGTTAAATATAAATACAAAGACCTTCTGAAACGAGTAGAAGGTTTAATCAATCTAAACCTTCTAAAAAGCAAACAAGTCTAAATAAAATACAATGCAAAAACTACAATAATTTAAAACCCAACTTACAATTTCATGGAAATCACAAACACTTCTTTCTACAATTAACACTGGATAAAATGTCTAACTATCACAACCTTTACTATGAAAACCAAATCCTGGTGTTGGTGTGTCTAGTCTTGAGACTACCACAAACCTAATGAACATCAGATGACCTGAGAACATCAGATGACCTGAGAACATCAGATGAGAACATCAGATGAGAACATCAGATGACCTGAGAACATCAGATGACCTGAAAACATCAGATGACCTGAGAACATCAGATGACCTGAGAACATCAGATGACCTGAGAACATCAGATGACCTGAGAACATCAGATGACCTGAGAACATCAGATGACCTGAGAACATCAGATGACCTGAGAACATCAGATGACCTGAGAACATCAGATGACCTGAGAACATCAGATGAGAACATCAGATGAGAACATCAGATGACCTGAGAACATCAGATGACCTGAAAACATCAGATGACCTGAGAACATCAGATGACCTGAGAACATCAGATGACCTGAGAACATCAGATGACCTGAGAACATCAGATGACCTGAGAACATCAGATGACCTGAGAACATCAGATGACCTGAGAACATCAGATGACCTGAGAACATCAGATGACCTGAGAACATCAGATGAGAACATCAGATGAGAACATCAGATGACCTGAGAACATCAGATGACCTGAAAACATCAGATGACCTGAGAACATCAGATGACCTGAGAACATCAGATGACCTGAGAACATCAGATGACCTGAGAACATCAGATGAGAACATCAGATGAGAACATCAGATGACCTGAGAACATCAGATGACCTGAAAACATCAGATGACCTGAGAACATCAGATGAGAACATCAGATGACCTGAGAACATCAGATGACCTGAGAACATCAGATGACCTGAGAACACGACCAAGGCTGAACTGAGGGAAAAGAAATAGAAAAGCGCAACAGGCGATCCATTGGACACACCTTGCACAACCAACAAACAACATCACCAAACAACATCACCAAACAACATCACCGGACAACATCACTAAACATCACAAAACAACATCACCATACAACATCACCAAACAACTTCACCAAACAACATCACCAAACAACATCACCGTACAACATCACTAAACATCACCAAACAACATCACCAAACAACATCACCCAACAACATCACCAAACAACATCACCAAACAACATCACCAAACAACATCACCAAACAACATCACCAGACAACATCACCAGACAACATCACCAGACAACATCACCAAACAACATCACCAAACAACATCACCAAACAACATCACCAAACAACATCACCAAACAACATCACCAGACAACATCACCAAACAACATCACCAGACAACATCACCAGACAACATCACCAAACAACATCACCAAACAACATCACCAAACAACTTCACCAAACATCACCAAACAACATCACCAAACAACATCACCAAACAACATCACCAGACAACATCACCAGACAACATCACCAAACAACATCACCAAACAACATCACCAAACAACATCACCAAACAACTTCACCAAACATCACCAAACAACATCACCAAACAACATCACCAGACAACATCACCAAACAACTTCACCAAACAACTTCACCAAACAACATCACCAAACATCACCAGACAACATCACCAAACAACATCACCAAACAACTTCACCAAACAACATCACCAAACATCAACAAACAACATCACCAAACAACATCACCAAACAACATCACCAGACAACATCACCATACAACATCACCAAACAACTTCACCAAACAACTTCACCAAACAACATCTACAAACAACATCACCAAACAACATCACCAAACAACATCACCAAACATCACCAGACAACATCACCAGACAACATCACCAGACAACATCACCAAACAACATCACCAAACATCACCAAACAACATCACCAAACAACGTCACCAAACAACATCACCAGACAACATCACCAGACAACATCACCAAACAACATCATCAAACAACATCACCAAACATCACCAAACAACATCACCAAACAACATCACCAAACAATATCACCAAACAACATCACCAAACAACATCACCAAACAACATCACTAAACAACATCACCAAACAACATTACCAAACATCACCTAACAACATCACCAAACAACATCACCAAACAACATCACCAAACAACATCACCAAACAACATCACCAAACATCACCAAACAACATCACCAAACAACATCAGCAAACAACATCACCGGACAACATCACTAAACATCACCAAACAACATCACCAAACAACATCACCAAACAACATCACCAAACAACATCACCAAACAACATCACCAGACAACATCACCAAACAACATCACCAGACAACATCACCAGACAACATCACCAAACAACATCACCAAACAACTTCACCAGACAACATCACCAAACAACATCACCAAACAACATCACCAAACAACATCACCGGACAACATCACTAATCATCACAAAACAACATCACCAAACAACATCACCAAACAACATCACCAAACAACATCACCAAACAACATCACCAAACAACATCACCAGACAACATCACCAGACAACATCACCAGACAACATCACCAGACAACATCACCAAACAACATCACCAAACATCACCAAACAACATCACCAAACAAGATCACCAAACAACATCACCAAACAACATCACCAAACAACATCACCAAACAACATCACCAAACAACATCACCAGACAACATCACCAAACAACATCACCAAACAACATCACCAAACAACATCACCAAACAACTTCACCAAACATCACCAAACAACATCACCAAACAACATCACCAAACAACATCACCAGACAACATCACCAGACAACATCACCAAACAACTTCACCAAACAACTTCACCAAACAACATCACCAAACAACTTCACCAAACAACATCACCAAACATCAACAAACAACATCACCAAACAACATCACCAAACAACATCACCAAACAACATCACCAAACAACATCACCATACAACATCACCAAACAACTTCACCAAACAACTTCACCATACAACATCACCAAACAACATCACCAAACAACATCACCAAACAACATCACCAAACAACATCACCCAACAACATCACCCAACAACATCACCAAACAACATCACCATACAACATCACCAAACAACTTCACCAAACAACTTCACCAAACAACATCACCAAACAACATCAACAAACAACATCACCAAACAACATCACCAAACAACATCACCAAACAACATCACCAAACAACATCACCATACAACATCACCAAACAACTTCACCAAACAACTTCACCAAACAACATCACCAAACAACATCACCAAACAACATCACCAAACAACATCACCAAACAACATCACCCAACAACATCACCCAACAACATCACCAGACAACATCACCAGACAACATCACCAAACAACATCACCAAACAACATCACCAAACAATGTCACCAAACAACATCACCAGACAACATCACCAGACAACATCACCAAACATCACCAGACAACATCACCAAACAACATCACCAGACAACATCACCAAACAACATCACCAAACATCAACAAACAACATCACCAAACAACATCACCAAACAACATCACCAGACAACATCACCATACAACATCACCAAACAACTTCACCAAACAACTTCACCAAACAACATCTACAAACAACATCACCAAACAACATCACCAAACAACATCACCAAACATCACCAGACAACATCACCAGACAACATCACCAAACAACATCACCAAACATCACCAAACAACATCACCAAACAACGTCACCAAACAACATCACCAGACAACATCACCAGACAACATCACCAAACAACATCA